CAATGCATTTTTTCACCTTTGCTGAAATGCTATGAGTATATCTGCAGATACTCCTCAGAGCAGCTTTGTAGATGCAAACTTGTCGGAAATGATATGTTTCATGAAAAAAAAAACCCAGCAAATATCTATTTCGACCTTTTATAAATAGGTCTCTATGTAAGAATAGATCTGATCCGACATAATAAGCATACCATGCTACAATTTAGTTAACATTTCTATATATTAGTCAAAATGACTAAATGCTAGTTGTTTTCCTTTAGCTGTGTTTTTGCAAGAAGCATATCTAAAATTAGCTCTGCTGTGTTTCTGCTTCATCCATTTTACTTCTGGCTATAATCAGCTATGCATATCTAAACGCAGTGCACTGGTTTGTGATATCAGAACTGTCTAATAATAAAAGTCTGTGTGTTAAGATGACATTAAGAAACATATTCATCTGAATAATCTGCTGCTATCTCACTTTAATCTAACTCCATTTGGCATCTACATATACTAAGGAGCTCAAGAATGACCACTATTTTCTAAACCAGATGCTAAAATACTATTCAAAGAGTGTTAATTAAAAGTGGCCAGATCACTTACTGAATATCATTGACATACCAGTGAGTGGTAAAGCCCTTAGCATTGAATAAAGGTAAATAGAACAGCCAAGTACTTTATGCATCAGCAGTTATTGATTTTAAAATGCACTTTGTTTGCGTCTCTAAAAAAAAATACAAATTAGTCCAGATTCTAATATGTGTGTGTGTGTGCTTTTTTACCTTTAGGTACCATATATAAGCAGTTACACAAATGTTAACCTCATACAGTAAGTAATAAAAATAATAAAAATGAGTGTTCACATACGTAGTCATCCACACATATAGATACAAACCACATAGTTGTACCACCGGACACAACCTACATGACCATATGGTGCAATTCACTGTCTTCCATTCAAATATATATAACTGATTTGTAATAAACAAAATTACATCAAAACAAACTTTGTAACCAGAGAACCTATTATAGATGATAAGGTATGTTTCTGACAGGTACATGAATCTGTCCCTAGTTGAGACATTTGTCACACAGACCAACACCAGAATTCAAACGAGTGTTTATGACACTCCTTATGAACTCCAGGGAGCTTAGATGAACAGGCGTCCTCTCAAGGTTCAACATACAAATTTTCTATTCAGACTGGAGTACACTTTTCAGTTTTTAGACCTCTGCACAAATAATAAAAACATTCTTCAATATATTTAATAAATATACAGATGTTTTTTCTATTACCAAATAGTTAACAAACCCATTAACAAAGTATTTCAAAGTGCTTTGTGGAGTAATGGAAAGAGCAAATAGTATTGTAGACTTTTACTGCAAATACAAATATTTTACTAACTAAAGGCAAAATTACACTACACAGCCGGTAAATCACAGAGCAGCTGGAGCTGCGGTAGGGGACAGTGTGATGTGCAATTCAGCGCATCACATGGCTCCGCCTTTTTTTTTAACAAACTTTATATGAAGTGTACAAAATTTACACTTCATTCACTACAACATTGCAATATGAATCAGGCCAGTGTCTGCATGTCTGCATTTTACCACAACACACTGCAGTGCAGTGCTAGGCTGAGTTGAGGTGTGAATGTGAATGAGGTATGTCTTTGTGGTGCCAGACATTTTACCATGAAGTGTGACTATGCCCTAATACCTATACTTATCACTGGTACACTTAGCCCCAGCAAGATCTGCATCAAGCCTAATTGTGCTTTCAAGCACCCTGTTTATGAAGGACATACTCACTCATCCAGTTTATTTTTGTGGAAGATTTAATATCATAGCACTTTTTTTAAAAATGCTTCATTTTTCTATGTGCCTATTTTTTTTCTACGCTTAAAGCATATGTCTGACTCCCACAACATGGGTTTTTAAAATGAAGATGTCTACAGAAATTGTATATTACATATTGCGTTCTTACTACAGAAGACATTCAGATATTACCACTTCTCTAGTTTGGAAATATGGAGATTAAACCTTCTCTAAGGGGCAGATATCTGACAGACATGCACATTATTCAATTTCCTTGGCACTGTGCTTTAAGGCACAAAGAACACAAACCAGCTAAATAGCAAACGCAAAGATTGTCCTGAAATGGGAAAAAAGCTCAATTTTTGCATTTGTGAATGAAGTATATATAAATACCCTTGGCTTTAGGAGATGCTGTACCAAGCAGTATTTCTAATACTGGAGGTTTATTTTTGTTGGTTTATCATTGCAACTCTAAAGCTTAATTTCAGGCCAATTTTGTTACTCAGGATAGAGTGGGGATGATTTATTATTTCTGTCTGTTTTTTATTTCTCTCTGGAGAGATTTTACTCACTTCCTCTTCTTGTAGAACTCATGCAAGCACAGGGAAAGGAAGACCTAAGCAGCAATAAAAAAAGTCTGTTACCTTTTTACCTTGTCTATGTGCCTATTGGATAAATTTCCCATAATTTCCTGTTCTTGCAATAAAAGGGAAGGAAAAGCAAGGGAAGGGAAGGCAATAAACACTTGACAGAGCCCCCCACTCAATACAAGATGAAAAAATGGTTGGCATTGGCTTTTACTGGTTCTTCTTTGCAGACATAATAATAACCTTAGCACTAAAAAATCCCAAAGCCTTAAAGTGACCCTGTACTTCATTCTAAACAAGAAAAAGTAAAGTCCCTATTAAAACAGCCATTACAGAATAACTACTCTAAACAATATATCAGGTACTTATATAGCGCTGTCAATTTATGCAGCGCTTTACATATATATTGTACATTCACATCACTCCCTAACCCTGAAGGGGTATACAATCGAAGGTCTCTAACTTACATTCATACATACTAGGGCCAATTTATATGGGATCCTAATCTACCAGCATGTCTTTGGAGTGTGGGAGGAAACTGGAGTACCCAGAGGAAACCTACGCAGGCACAGGGAGAACCTGCAAACTTCAGGCAGGAGGTGCCATGGCTGGGATTTGAACCGACAACCCCAGTACTGCCAGGTGGAATGCAAACCATTTAGCCACTGTGCTGCCCAGTATTAGCCAGAAAAGCTTTTTCTGTGACCCATGCTGATTGATTTTAGTTTGTTACTGTGATCTGACTTTCATTGTCTTTGTGGCTAATCCCTATCAGCTACCATTTCACTGTCCAATGAGATTCCCTCACCAGTCAAGAAGGAAACATACTGTATATCGAACAATAGGCAACAGTTGGTGCAGCTTATCAGAAAAGATCAGATCCAAGTTAAAACTAAAGCAAATGGACTTTTCTTTATAATAAAGGTAACAGCATTTATCTTGTGATGTTTGCTTAAGGAAGACCTTTTACAAGAAAAACATGTTCACACTAAAGAACTCTGACAATCACTTTTTATACCATAAGAATGGCCACATAGCCTCATTACAATGTAAGAAACTAAATTCTTTCTTTGAATGCAACTCATTTGTATGCTCTCCACATGCATGTAATTGCCATCCATACATGCAGGGATTTGAATCTTAGCTCTTTTGTATAGCTACAGCTCAGCATGTCATAATGAGCAAGTTTAAATCAAGAAACAAGGCTCAGCATCCATGATGGAATGAGTTTCCCCATTTCACAAAATTTGTACTGTCAATCAATGAAATATGGTGAAAGAGTTTGGCACAATTATAACATTTCTTATTTGTACCTATTGATTGCAAAACAAAAAGAAAAATCAAAAATTGTGTTGTGTCATTCATAAGCTGATGAGGAAAGGGGGTTTAACCTTACAAAAGTACATTATGTGTACATGGTTGAGTCACTTTTCCTTGTTTCCATGTCCTATGCACAAAAACATAGAAACTGGGGCACAGAAAAATGACAGCAGGTGCTCTGGACTAATGAGTCAAAATATTTGGCTGTAGCAAAAGGCAGTTTGTTCACGAAGGCCTGGAGAGTGATATAATAATGAGTGTTTGTGGGCAACAGTAAAGCATGATGGAGGTTCCTTGCCAGTTTGGGGCTGTATTTCTGCAAATGGAGTTGGAGATTTGTTCAGGATCAATAGTGTCCTCATTCCTTTGAGATACAGGCAGATATTTATCCATCATGCCCTATCATCAGGGAGGCCTGTGATTGGCCCCAAATTTATTCTGCATCAGGACAACGACCCCAAACATGCAGCCAATATCATTAAGGGCTATCTTCAGTGTAAAGAACAACAAGGATTACTGGAAGTGATGGTTTGGCCCCACAGAGTCCTGATCTCAACATCATTGAGTATGTCTGGGATTACATGAAAAGACACAAGGATATGAGGCAGCCTACATCCACAGAAGATTTGTGGTTAATTCTCCAAGATGTCTGGAACAACCTACCTGCAGTGTTCTTTCTGTGCGCAAGAGAATCTATAACAGTGATGGCGAACCCGTGGCACGCGTGCCACAGCCGGCACGCCGAGCCTTATCTGTGGGCACCCCAGGAGAATACCGTATTTTTCGCTCCATAAGACGCACTTTTTTCCCCCCAAAAAAGGGGGGAAAATGTCAGTGCGTCTTATGGAGCGAATATAGAGCGGCCGGTCCGGTATTTCCACCGCCGGCGTGTCAGAATACCGGGCCGGCCGCTCAGCTCTGCAGTGGGACCGTACCTGTCCCTCTATCCAGCGGCGCGCTGTCTTCCCGGCTTCTGTAGTGTGCGTGACAGCCGGGTCCCAAGTGCGCATGCGCAAGAAGCAGTGCTCTTTGTGAATGGTAAGGCGGTACCTGGGACACATGACAGATCCCAGAAGCCGCCGGACCAATCACAAAGCGCAGCGCTTCTCGCGCATGCGCACTGGGCATCCGGCTGTCCGACAAGCGCCCACACTACAGAAGCCGGGAAGACAGCGTGCGGCTGGATAAAGGAACAGGTAAGATAAAAAAAAAAAAACTCTCTGCGGAAGTAAGAGCGGGTACCTGTCAAATTCAGGTACCCGCTCCCCCTCCCTCCCCAAAGGTCAGCAGTCATCTGTACTGTCCGCAGTCTCTGGTCATCCCTGTGCTGTCCGCAGTCTCTGGTCATCTCCTGTACTGTCCGCAGTCTCTGGTCATCCCTGTACTGTCCGCAGTCTCTGGTCATCCCCTGTACTGTCCGCAGTCTCTGGTCATCCCCTGTACTGTGTCCGCAGTCTCTGGTCATCCCTGTACTGTCCGCAGTCTCTGGTCATCCCCTGTACTGTCCGCAGTCTCTGGTCATCCCCTGTACTGTGTCCGCAGTCTCTGGTCATCTCCTGTACTGTGTCCGCAGTCTCTGGTCATCTCCTGTACTGTGTCCACAGTCTCTGGTCATCTCCTGTACTGTGTCCGCAGTCTCTGGTCATCTCCTGTACTGTGTCCGCAGTCTGTGGTCATCTCCTGTACTGTGTCTGCAGTCTCTGGTCATCTCCTGTACTGTGTCCGCAGTCTCTGGTCATCCCTGTACTGTGTCCGCAGTCTCTGGTCATCCCTGTACTGTGTCCGCAGTCTCTGGTCATCCCTGTACTGTGTCTGCAGTCTCTGGTCATCCCTGTACTGTGTCCGCAGTCTCTGGTCATCCCTGTGCTGTCCGCAGTCTCTGGTCATCCCTGTACTGTCCGCAGTCTCTGGTCATCCCTGTACTGTTAATTAGTTTGCACTACTGTACGAGTTGTTTTTTCTAAACCAAAAGCTCGATATTCAGGTTTCATTGCAGTGTTGGCACTTTGAAGAAATAAGTTGGTTTTGGGTTGCAGTTTGGGCACTCGGGCTCAAAAAGGTTCGCCATCACTGATCTATAAGAATTGATTAATTTATGCTGTTTTGAAGTGTTGTCACACTCATTTTGATTTGATATGGTTTAACACTTCTATTTCAGAAAGCATTCTTAATTTACAGCATTTTTTCACACCTGCCTAGGACTTTTGCACAGTACTGACAGTACAAACACACAAACTTTAATGGCATCCTAGTCTTAGTCCGTAAGGTTCAATATTGAGTTGGGCAACTCTTTGCAGTTATAACAGCTTCAACTCTTCTGGGAAGGCCTGGCTCACAGTCTCTGCTCTAATTCACCACAAAAGTGTTCTATTGGGTTGAGGTCAGGACTCTGTACAGGCCAGTCAAGTTCCTCCACCCCAAACTCGCTCATCCATATCTTTATGGAGCGTGCTTTGTGGACTGGTGCGCAGTAATGTTGGAACAGGAAGGGGCCATCCCCAAACTGTTCCCACTAAGTTAGGAGCATGAAATTGGCAAAAATGTCTTGGTATGCTGATGCCTTAAGAATTCCCTTCACTAGAACTAGGGGGCCAGGCCCAACCCCTTAAAAACAGCCCCACACCATAATTCATCTCCACCAAACCTTATACTTGGCACAATGCAGTTAGGCAAGTACCGTTCTCCTGGCAACCGCCAAACCTAAGCACATCCATCAGACTGCCAGACAGAGAAGCGTGATTTGTCACTCCAGAGAACATGTCTTCGCTGCTCTAGAGTCCAGTGGCTGCGTTCTTTACACCACTGCATCCAATGCTTTGCATTGCACTTGGTGATGTAAGGTTTGGATGCAGCTGCTCGGCCATGGAAACTCATTCCATGGAGCTCTCTATGCACTGTTGTTGTGCTAATCTGAAGGCCACACGAAGTTTGGAGGCCTTTAGCTATTGAATGTGCATACAGCTGTGACTTTGGCGCACTGTTCGCTTCAGAATTTTCTGACTCCACGCTGTCATTTTACATGGCTTACGAATTCGAGTTGCTGTTGTTCCTAGTTGCATCCACTTTGTTATAATAAAACTAACAGTTGACCATGGAATATTTAGAAGCAAGAAAATGTCATGGATGGACTTATTGCACAGGTGGCAACCTAGCATTGTACCACGCTTGAATTCACTGAGCTCCTGAGAGCAACCCATTTTTTCACAAATTTTTGTAGAAGCAGTCTGCATGTCTAGGTGCTTGATTTTGTATACCTGTGGACATGCAGGTGATTGGAAAACCTGAATCCAATGATTTTGAGAGGTGTCCCAATACTTTTGGCAATATAGTGTATATACATACACAAACCTTTTACCTTGCAAAATACCACCTGGTCACTTTTACTTTTACAAGGTTTGGAAGGGGCCCCTCCTACTGCCCCTGATCACAGGCTCTCCTGTTCAACCAGGGAGCCCAGGACTACTGCAAACTACCGGGCCAGCTGAGTACAGAGATGGGGGAAAACCAGAAGTTGTGAGGATTTTGTCACTTCCAGTTTCAGTGTTTGCTTACCTGGCCAGTACAGCCGCTCATCAAAGTGATCTCAGTTTGATCGGCTGCCTTTGAGAACAGAGGAGAGATAAGTAACCTAACAGATGCCTGATCTCTCCCTAAAAGGATGACAGCATCCCTTGTGATAGCAATAAAGCTGAATTAAAAACAAAAGTTAAAAAAAAGTAAATAAAATACATTTTAAAAAAATTAAGCACCCCCCCCCCATTGTATCGTGCTCACATAAACGTGAATGTGCACGTAGGTCCTAAATGCATTTGTAAACACACATGTGAGCTATCACCACAAACATCAGAGTGAGAGATATAATTCTAGCAACATAATGGCTCATGTTTAAAAGAGAAGTATGGGTTTCACGAAAAAAAATATATATTTATATATATTCTCACCTAGGTGGATGCAGAATTGGTTCGATGCTTCATCTGTCCCCCTCTAGCTCTAGGACTGTAAACTGGGTGATCATATACCACTTACCACTCAATTCTTGGTCTTCAGGCTGCAGAAAAATGGTGAATGTCAGTCACCAGTTCTCTGCTCTACCCTTCAGCACTCACTGGAGTGCTTGGCTGTGAAGGGGGCAGCAGCAGCTGGCCCAGCCTCTCAAAGGCTCACTGAGAGGCTGAGCCAGCTACCAGTGCAGGAATCTGGGAGGATCTTTTCAGAGCCTGGACCGGCTCTGTAACATCATCAGTTGACAGGGGGCTTTAGCCTGCTGTCGGCTGAAACCGGGTCACAGGAGTACAGAACAAACTGTACTCCTGTGATCCATAGGAAAAGTGCAGCCAAAAAAGCTTTGGGTATACTTCTCCTTTAGCTCTAAATTGGTAGCCTCTAAAGGCTTATAAAGCGTTGCCTATGGAAATTTTTAGGTACCGTAGTTTGTTGCCTTTTCATGGGCATAATACATTTTAAATCTTGACATCTGGTATCTATATGCTTGGCATAACATCATCTTTTATATTTTACCAAACATTTGGTATTATATTGTGTTTTTGTGCCCTAAAATGCATTTAAGTGTATCTTTTCCATTTACATGTGATAAATGGCTGCACAAATAACGTTTGACAAAAAAATGCAACACCCACCATTTTATTTTCCAGACCTGCTTTCAGAAAATATATAATGTTTGTTTGGGGGGTTTCTAACAAAAAAAATGCTGATTTTAACATGTATGTGAAAAATGTTAAAATTGTTCCAGATCCAAAGTGGTTAAACTGATTAAGCTGTTTTACAAGGTAAGAGCTCACATCTACTTTAAGAATCATTGAACATCAGCACGCAATCTACTAGATAGGTTTAGGGGACATGATCGCCGACAGGCAGGCATCTAACAGACACGCAGGCAGCCGGCCCTTTGAGAACATCTCATGACAAAATGCATTGGTGATGAGCCTGTGCTGCCGTCATCACACTGCTGTAAAGAATGGCAGCTGAATAATTTGCATAAGTAAATGTGAGTACCTTTCTCTTAACTAAACAAAACAACCAAAGCGTTTTTACACTATGAAGTGTTTTGTCATTTGTTTTTTTACCAGAATACTGACACATGCTGAGCGGAGGTACTGGTTACAGCTGATCCCTGCTGGTATGCTCTGTGGTTCCCAATTTCAGTGCTGGATTGCTACAAAGATCCTCAAACATCTACGAGTGTTATAAGACTGCCTATGTTTTGAGGTCTTTCCTTTTGGTAGGAGGCTAATTTTTAGCAATGGTGGTGGAAATCACAAGGGAATTCTTGGGGGATATCAAGTATCACTTGATTGCATATTATTTTGGTGGAGTTTATGGGTTATGATGTTTGCAGTACTTTAGTGATTGCACATATTGATTTGATTTAGATTTAAAGGTACAGTGCAACAATTTTCATATTGGATTAGGCAAACACCTATGCACAGATGCAGACCCCCAATGCAAGCACACTGCAATCATTTATCCTGGCTCTGGTTCATTTGCCTTAGTAAATGAGATTCAGTTTGTATTTAATGCAGAGCTGAATCTAGCATACATTGCAAGTATATAAAACCAGTAGCAGAAGAAGAAACTTACTCTTTGCCCAAAAAATATAACATACTAATTTGCATACATTTAAACAACTAATGAGTCAATAACAATAGCTTATAAATTTATAACTGCTTAACCTGTTTTGCCCACTAGAGGGCCCTTCAATATACATCACTGTACAAATGAACATAACAATCAATAACTTCTACCTTGGTCTTTCTTTCTAATCACCAAAATCTGTAACTGTTAAAGGTTTTGGTTTTTGTTTGCAGGGGTCCAGAGGGGACAAATTTGATACATAAAAATGAATTTACAGTGCAATTAAAAAAACGGAGTATGATTTCAGGTTTGGTAGCAGGAGCAGGTTCTTTTAATAGCTTTCTATCCAAACTCCTTTGTACTGCAATCATATGAAAATGGCTTACGCTGTCACATCTGCAGTTTGAAAGGATCATTATTGCAGGATTTGCTGTGCCACGTCATATCTGCACTCGCATTGCACAGATTTTTTTCTTCTCTTGCTATTAGCTCAATGTATGATTTTCTTTGTCAACCCAATTGCTTTTTTCTTATTAATATGAAAGACATTGCATGATCAATAAAAACAATGTTCTATTTTTCAAATCTTAATCTTCTAAGTAGCACATTTCATCACAGTGTTATGAAAAAAATCTGACTGCAGTTAGCCAGATGCTTTTTATTCATGGATATTTTAAGGAAGTATAACATGTCCATTTAGTACTGGATTTCCTTGTTCTCTTAAAATATGGAGCTATCTTCTTCTTTTGTAAAGATAGTCACATCTGCACGCAGCTGCACAGCCATTTACATACTTTATATAGACCTGGGAACCCTGAGCTTGTCATAAAAGTAAAATGTCATGATTAATTCGTCACTGTCGCCTGAACACTGGCAATGCGTTATCATTAAAGGGCCCACCATGTGCTCCTTCTGGCGGGGGGGGGGGGGGGCATGGGGGGGGGGTTTGCAAATGAACTTTAATTAATTTATGGTTGACTAGTTAAGCTAGTTAGAAGACATCACCCTGAAGTCACTTAGTTACATTATGGTTAGGCTGTGGAACTGCGCTAAGCTATTCCTGTGATATTCAGATCCTGAGGAAAAAGCTGCGTACATGAAAGCTGAACTTCAGGCAAACAGATACATATACAGATTAATTACATACATGAGATCTGTTTTACCTACCAAAGAATGTATATTTCTCTGCATCCAGTCTCAAGAGTTACACAGCTCTGGTCCACAGCACAGCCCTCTCTAGCAGGATAGAGGCTGATAGTGTGCAGAGCCCAATCCTTACCAGCACACTGGCTACCAACATGGCAGCAGAACCCCTGAATTCAAGTA